TGTACGAAAATAAATAACAATTTCCTTTTACCAACACCCATCTGGTGTGTACAATGTCATTAAGAAGTACACCGCTTCTTCTTCTTTGGCTCCTCTTCACTCGCACTGCAGCTATTGGTTTTGTAGAGTCATTCAACACTAGCTCTTTGTTGTTGGCGTTGTATTTCATTTAAATTGCATTTGACTTTGTCGTACTTTACACACATGCTGTCTCGCCCTCTCTTCACTCTCTTCACATATTTGCTCTGCTTCACATTAAGTCGCGGACAAGCGCGATTAATGGGCATAAAATTTATCGATCACATAGTTTACATATGTACTAAGTAACTAAGTACATTTCTCTACTATCGCTGAATACTCGCTTTATTTATTTATTCCTATACATCCGTGCATTTTAGTAGCTTGTCAAATGATATTAATTCCGTGACTTTACTACGGACTGTCAAAGCGACACGTGCGAGGGTATTTGCATAGCGTGGACGCGTTTGCGGTGCAGCGAAATTGTAAGAAGCTAGAACGTTAACTTCGACCGCACCGAAGCTACAATACCCTTCACATGTGCATTTCTTATAGCATAAAAAGTAAGAAAAATATCTTTTCTTGATCGGTCAGTTTGTATGACAGCTATATGATATGATAAAGCGGTCCGATCTGAACTATTTGTTCGGAAATTGTAGAGTTGCCTTGCACTATAATCAGCGCCAAATTTCGTGAAGATATGTTATAAAATAAAAACGTTTTCTATTCAAGAACTTGATTTTGATCGTTCAGTTTGTACAGCAGCTATAGTGTATGTACATATGTACATAACATATATGCTATAGTGAGTCAATATAATCGCCGGTTTCAACAAATGAGCAGCAAATGAGGGGAGAAAAGGACGTGTGCAAAATTTCAGGGCGATATCTCAAAAGCTGAGTGACTAGTTGCCGTATATACACGGACATGGCTAAATCGACTCAATTCGCCGCGCTCATCATTTATATATACATATAAGTATGGATCTCCGACGCTTCTTACTGTGTGTTACAGATTTTGTGTCAATCTTAATACACCCTGTTTAGGGTATAACAAAGCACCTTGTTCGTGCCTTCTCCTTTCGTGTATTTCTTATCATATTTACGTTTAGTTAATTTTAGCGAATTTCTTGTATTGCCTTCATTTATCATCGGCTTTAGGGCAAAAATAAAAAACTTGTTTTATCATATTCTGAATTTTGTAAAAGCTGCAGCCCAACCACTGTTATAACGGACAACAGTGGTTGGGCTGCAGCTTTTACAAAATTCAGGATATGATAAAACAAGTTTTTTATTTTTAGACCGAGGTAATTTTTCCAAATACAGGCTGCATTTTTCATATATCATTCATATATAGATATATTATAATCTTTGAATTTTACTACGTTATATCTTAATAAAGGAAGCTTATATTTGGACCTAGAGGAACTATTCACATCTCAGCCAAGTATTAAACTGCACCAGAAATATTAATAGAACAAAATAATAACAAAAAGGAAAAAAATAGAGAATCTTGAAAAAAGTTAGGTTTATTTGAAGTTTTATTGTCTTCGGCCAAAGTTTTCTACTAGTGGCCTTCAATTCGTCATGGCGATACTTAAAAACACTGATATAAAACACATAGACTGGCATACTCGAAAATAGATAGACTAACAACCGGTTCTACCACCTCAATGAGGTATCAACATACTTTCTTGCATTCATATCAACTAGATAACTTTGGTATTAATTTTTTACAAACACATCAAGCAGAGAAATAGGGAATCAACCACGGTTATTAACAAATTTCACTGAATTGAATCGGAAATCAAAAAATATCTACCTCTTGCATATAATACATACTGTATTTCTAATTTTTCTCCTACATACAACTATAGTCATGTTTACCAACAAAATTATCTTATCTCAACCTCAACGGTTGGAATATGATACGAGTAAATTCTATGGTATGGATTCTATTTATGTAAATTTTAGTTTATATATGTTTGTGTGTATAACTTTGGAACTCCGAGTTATAATTTTTACAAGCTGTAGTATATGGACTTAAAATGTTAAATAAATAAATCTTCTAAATACTAGTCATTTATTGGTTAATATTTTTTAGTTAGAAATTGGAAAGTAACATTCATTCGAATTTTTTTTGTTTATAATATGAAACTAAAGGTTTTTCGCTTAACTGAAATAAATTAGAGTTTATGATATAAGTGTGAACACCATTAAGGAACATTATCTTCTGCAATCATAAACTGGGTTAACCAGTTACCCCTTAACGCCTCGTCACTCTCAAGATGACAAAAGAGATTAAAAATAGTCTTGAAATGATACTTTCTCGTCATTAAATGTTATTTAAATGTTCTGTGACATGAACAACTTTCTGAGAAGTGTTGATTGAACGAGTATATGGCATTATCATTATCATAATATTAGTGGTAAGGGTTAGAATTTGTAACTTCTGTAGCTTCTACAACAGTATGTGAATATAAACTAAATATAAATGGATATATTATTTTTTTAGCATACAATTTTTGGAAATATTCTGATGAACTCTATCTTAACCTCTTCTCAAATTTAATATGAGGACAGATTATTTTAATGCCGAAATATATTTAAACAAGAAAAAACTTTAACTTCGGTTGCGTTACAAAGGTTTTTTACAAGAATTTGATTCCGATTTAATTTCATGAATATTCCTCGTCAAATAAAAAAGTTTTACATGCAAGCACTTTATTCCGATCGTCCAGTTAATATGGCAGCTATATGCTATAGTGATCCGATCTAAACAATTTCTTTGGAGATTACATTGTTGCTTTAGGAAATAACTCATGGCAAAGTTCGTAAAGATATTACGTCAAATGAAGGAGTTTTCCATACAAACACTTGATTTCAATCGTTCAGTTAATATATATATACCAATATATACTGAGGGACTAGTTTGCATATATACAGACGGACTGACGTACAGACGGACATGGCTAAATTAACTCAGCTCATCATGCTGATCATTTATATATACATTTTATAGGGTCAACGACGTTTCCTTCTGGTATAAATAAACAAGGATATGTTGGTAGAATTCAAAAATGTGTTTTTCTGATAATCGCTTAGTGCGCTTTTACATTGGGACTCAAAAGAGTCTCATTTTTTTCATATTCTCTTTTGGTGTCGCTCTGTGCATTCACACGGTCAAAAAGAGTCCAGCAACTCGAGTCTAGTTTTTCTGCATTCCTTTTCACAAAATTTTCGTGAATATTTGTGCGGTTCGACATGTTAATCTACAAGTATATTGTTACACACTTCTTTTTATTCTCATTCTCTGTTTTGAAATAGAAATATATTCATGGATTCATCAAAGGTTTTCTTGAATGTTTGTCAGCTGAGCAAAGGCAATTCAGTACGTTTTTAAGAGCTGCTTCAGCAACTTTTAATGTCATTGAGTAACATCAAGCATGTGTAATAATGTCAAAATATGCGCCTAGTTTAAAATGTGTTACTTTATAATTTCTTTTTACTCCAGATCATATAGAGCCAATTATAGGTCCTACAATTTTTGTAATGACTTATTTTACTTGGGTGATATTTTATCGTTCTAAAATTATACTCCAGGGGTTCTTATTGTCTACTAAGTGGTTCAGTATTAGAAAAGCTATCTCCATGTAGAAGATATATAGTCAGTAGGGTTTACAACCAATTTTCACTTTTATTTTAACTCTCGTCGGTTTCTATTGTCGTAACCTCAATTATGTGTACAGTAACTAAAAATTGTATTAAAAATGAATAAAGAATCTTAATAAAAATTTTAAAAACCTCAAACATCTGTTTATGTTTATGGCAGAAGCTCAAAAATTAATTAATAGCTGTTGTATCGTTATGGAAATACCGTTAAGTTATGGTATTCGTGCATGAAAACAGTGTTGATTACCCATAAGGTTTATTAGATCAGCTGCTTTAAATGCTTTAAGTCTCCTTGTATAGCCTCAGTATAATATTCTTTTATGCTTAGAAATATACAGAAAGGATAATCCCAATAGTTTATCAATTTGTAAAATCGATTAGTTAGTTGAAATTTTTTTCAAAATATTGGTTTGCAGTGCCATTTGTTAGATCTTCAGATATCATTTATAAACAAATATCTGAGAAATAAGATGGCCTAACTCCTAAAAGTTTCACCTAAAATACAATATATTTAAATTTTTAAATATTTGATACATAAACACGAATTAAATAAAGAAAATTGAGAGAATCAGACATTTTTTGTTGCATTTGTCTCCATTAAAAAGTTAGATCAGTCTAAAACCCTCAAAAGGACTAAGCCTTAGTAAAATTTATTTAGGAGTACACAGAATTTTACAGTGATATTTTGATATAAAAGTCGATTTTTTGATAGTCTTAGACTGGTCCTAACTCTTAACTTACCTAAGGGTTATTCCTTATTTGAAATAATTTTTATAAGTTACAGTTATTTATTATCTTCGAAAAAGTTGATCTGAGCCAACAATTTCAATTTAATATAACATAGATATATTCATTTATATATTTTTAATATTACATAATTTTTCTAAAACATACGCAAATTTCCGAGTACCTAGTTCACATTGAAAACGATTAGTACAAACCCAAAGAAATCGCATCTAATTATGCATCTTTTCACTCGACATTAATAGTCATCTAAAGCACATATGCAACTCTGTGTCACATATTTACAGAGCATATACAATATTTTCATATTATAAATAATTTTTGTATTTAAATAACGTAGTTTTGCATAGATCACATAATGACAGCGAAATCGCAGTTAAAACAACACTGGCTTACTGAATTATATATTTTTGTATTTATATAAGCAAAGGTTTATATACATACATATATGTACATATGTAGTACGAAAATCAAAACCAATAAAAATAATAAAAAAAAACAAACTTAAATCAAAGTACAAAGACCAATAGCGGCATCTTTTTTCTCTTCCATTCTCCTCTCTTCCAGGAGTTGCATTCTTCGATAAGCAAGAGGGAACACTGACCTTCTGTCTGACATCGAGAGGTACTGTTTCGACGACGAATAGAACATTTCTGCCAAGTGAAACCGCTGCTGAGCCCGAGCTAAGCACCGATACCCCAGCTTATTATAGATCTCGTGACGAAGATTACAATTCAATAAACAGCAACAACAATTACATCTACACAATCAAAACGCAGAAGAAAACAAATTGTGTTGTGATTCAACAGCCAACAACAAATAAGCCTAACACACCCAAAGCAGCAAACGGCAAAAAAGTAATCCAAACACTAAGTGTAGCAGAGCTTGCAAATCATTTACAGTTAGACGGGAAGTACCCCACACCAGCTGAACGCTTGCCAGCGCAATTGACAGCGAAAGCAACAGCCACGGCTACTTTACCCACGTCGAAGACCACACAGAGTATACAAAGCAAATCGGCGAAAATGGCGTCTAGCGCTAACTTGAATAGCACAGGGGCCGCCGCGGCACACTCCATCTCCGAGAAGCAGCCTTGGCCCAACTCGAAGGACGACTACGAGCTGCGCGATGTGATCGGCGTGGGCGCGACTGCGGTCGTACATGCCGCGCTCTGCCTGCCACGCAACGAAAAGTGCGCCATCAAGCGCATCAACCTGGAGAAGTGGAACACTTCTATGGATGAACTGCTCAAGGAGATACAGGCGATGTCATCGTGTAATCACGAGAATGTTGTCACCTACTATACATCGTTCGTGGTGCGCGAAGAATTGTGGCTGGTGTTGCGCCTACTGGAAGGCGGCTCTTTGCTGGACATCATCAAGCACAGAATGCGCACAGCGAATTGCAAACATGGCGTCTTCGATGAACCGACCATTGCCACTGTTTTAAAAGAGGTACTCAAGGGTCTTGAGTACTTTCACTCGAACGGACAGATTCATCGCGACATCAAAGCGGGTAATATCTTAATCGGCGATGATGGCACCATACAAATAGCCGATTTCGGTGTGAGCGCCTGGCTGGCGACCGGTCGTGACCTCTCACGCCAGAAAGTGCGTCACACATTTGTCGGCACACCGTGTTGGATGGCGCCTGAGGTGATGGAACAGGATCATGGTTATGACTTTAAGGCCGACATCTGGTCATTTGGCATTACTGCCATCGAGATGGCGACCGGCACGGCGCCCTATCACAAGTATCCACCTATGAAGGTGCTGATGTTGACGCTACAAAATGATCCGCCCACTTTAGATACTGGAGCGGATGAGAAGGATCAATACAAAGCCTACGGCAAGACATTCCGGAAAATGATTGTGGAATGCCTACAGAAAGAGCCCTCAAAACGACCCACCGCCAGCGAACTGCTCAAGCATGCCTTCTTCAAGAAGGCCAAAGATCGCAAATATCTTACGCAAACATTGCTCGCCTCCGGCCCATCAATGGAGACGCGCGTACACAAGGCTGCGAAGCGACAGCCAGGCGCCTCCGGTCGCTTGCATCGCACCGTCACTGGCGAATGGGTGTGGTCGAGCGAAGAGGAAGATAACGGTGGTAAGCACCTTTCGTCTGACTCCGAATCGGATGATCGACCCATCAATCGCCTGGAACGCGCCGAATCTTCGGACAGTGATCACGATGACTATTCAGAGACTACAGCAACCGCAACCGAACCGGTACAACAACAGCCAGCTGCGGCGAATATAGCGACACCAGCGGTAAACATACCCACACCGGCAGCAAATAATGCTCAACAGCAACCAACAGACGCGGCGATAACACAAGCCATCACGGGTGTGGCGCAAATGCCAATGCCCTCAGCGATGACGGATGCCGGCGAAGCACCGCCCGTCAATTTGGTGTTGCGCATGCGCAATCAACGACGCGAACTGCACGATATACGCTTTGAATTTGCCGTGGGCAAAGATTCAGCCGAAGGCATTGCCATGGAATTGGTCGACGCCGGACTCGTCGACGCGTTGGATACGCAACCAATGGCCGTGCATCTGCAACAGCTGATCGAGCAGCGTGCCGCACTGAAAACCATAACGTTCCAACTGAACTCGGGAGTGCAGCCGGGCGAAGTGCTCGACGACCGCTCGCTGGTGGGGTACGCGCAAATATCGATAACGGATTAGGAGGAGCAGAGCGCTTTAGCCGATTCACCGGTAAATGCTTGAGTATGACGTTGGACGGAACAAATCAAGCAAGCTTCTGCGCATGTGTGGTTTGCTCGACTGTTCGGGGCTTACAATTTTTACTATTGTAAACAATTTTTTTGCGAGTTCTTCAAATGTAGTTTTTAAAATTGTAATATTTTCCTTTAATATTAGCCAAACAAAGCAAATGCCAACGCATAGCATAAGAAGTGGTGTAACTGTAAATTTTATTAATTTAATAATAATAATATTAATATTTTGAGCATAAAACTGTTTAGTTCTTAATGTAGCTGAGCGCTTTGTTTGCAGCATACGCATAGTGTAAAAAACTGAAAGTACTTACGATTACATATTTTCGATATTTGTAGTTATTTGTTGTATTTTTTTATCATTAATATAATGCGCCGTTCTTATGCAGCCGCCTAACTCCAAAGGGAGCTAGTAAAATACATACTAGAATGTAGTCTCTAATTAACTATAATTAGAAATTTATTTTTAGAGTAAAGTCTAGCCTAGCATAATATTTCGTTTCTGTATGCTGCTATAAACAATACAAAAAAACGAATATAAAAGAAAAAAATTCTGGTATAACGTGTTGAAAGTCGTTTAAAATATGCTGAAATGCTGATTTTTAAATAAAAAATCTGCATACATACTAACATAAATTGTGAATTTATTTACGCTCAGTTTGAAAACTATTGTACGTATGTATTTTAATTATCACTCCGTAGCATTATATATTTTTTTTATTACAATAAACAATATTACAAGCAGGCATGCCTACAACAAATAATAAATGCTAGGTAAATCATAGAAAAAAATGTTCTAGCTTTTAGAAATGCATTGTAATAATTATAAGATGAATACAAGGCGGTGCCTAAAAGCACACTACCTGAATAAAATATAGAAAGCCCAAATTTGATGATACTAAGGCATGAAAATGCATTTCAACACTGGCAGACTACTACAAATAAAAATAAATATATATATTAAATAAAATAAAATCATTTAAACCCCCAATTACAGCAAGCTCTAGTGCGGCGACAAGGTCTTCTAAAGATTTTATTGTCGAAGTACAGGCACTACTTTTCATACATACATGCATCAATTACTTACTCGTATTTAGCAAACAAAAAAAAATAATAATAATAAAATCATATTATAAGTCAGAAAATGTTTATAATAGAATTTAGTGAATAATACAAATTTTAATAAGACAAAATGATATTCATACTTTTCGAAACAATAATTAAATTTAATGTATGTTTTTTTTTGTATGTATGTCTGAATGCTACATGTGTAAACGTTTAAGTATGGGAGCTGATGAACCAGAATTTGAAAACAAAATACATATTTTACAAAACTAAAAAAAACCAAACATTTCTCAAACAAAATATTTGCAGCAAATATATAATAAATGAAAAAATATTTCCTTTTTAACTACATCTGAAGCACGTAAAAAAGAAAAACGTAAATTCGTTGTAACGCAAATACAAAACATCTTTGTAATAGTTTAAATAAACTACTACGAGAATACTTATTCCTTTAGAAAATAAACACCAACACAAACATTCGTTTGCTGTATTATAACCCAAAATTGTTCAATAGTTTGTAAATATTTTTAGCGCACATATTCTGTTTTTAGTTTCATTTATGCGGCACTTTATTCCTTGCCTTTTAAAAAGTATTTAATTTTTAAAAATTTTCCATTTCCAAATTAAATTTGATTTTTAAATTTCTCCTTTCCTTTTGATTTTTAAAATTTTTCCTTTCCCTTTAGAAAAATATAAATTAAATTTGTTCAATTTTTCATTATTTACTTCATCGAATTGCGTTTTAATTTTCCGGTTTCTGAAGATCTTTGTAGCAAAACCAGGTTTGTACTATCGTTTTCTTTGTATCGGCTATACCGTTATAGTAATTTTTTTTTCATATTTGGAGCATTTGTATGGCCTATTGGGTTTCTTTAGCAAGAGTAAGAATATAACTATTATTATACGATCATTTAATTTTTAATGACTAATGTACCGTTAGTGAGGGGTCAAACACCTTCAACAGGGTATATTAAGTTTGTCACGAAATATTTGAATATCGAATTTATTTGCTCATGTTTATTTTCACTTCCCCTTTTTAAAATACTATTATCTTTAACAACGGGCTATGCGCAAGGATACTGCAATCAACTTAATTATTTAGGCTATGCATGAAATTAGTTGTATTAAAAATAATTTTTATAATTTATTTTGCAATTCCTTTTACATATTTTAAATTTACTTTAAAAAATTACTTTACGCCTTCGCTGCACTGTCGGATCAGCGATTCTCTTATAATTAAAAGCATACAACATTTTGTAGGTCACACTTTTTAATAAAAATTTACTTATTTATTTACCACACCATAAATTTACTGTTACCACAATTCGAAAACCCAAACTACTAGTATTTCACCAAATATCAAATACGTACTTAGAATTCTTCCATTTTACCCGATTGCTTAATTTAGGACTCACAACTCTAAAACTTTAGATGCTTGTATAATTACATACACACACTTAAATACAAACTAGCTTATAATTTGCATCGAAATTTTTATAGAAGAGTGTTCTATGGACGAGAAATTAGAATTGCGAAAGGAGAAATTCCAAATTTTATAGACATGCATACATACATATGTACACAGGTATATGTATACATAATAATATTATATTTATAACGATTGTTTGCCTTAGGAAAGAATTGAGTGCTACACTTAATAAATAAAAAAAATACTAGTATAGCATAGAATCATACACAGACTTGTAAAAGTTTTAAGCAAATGCATGCAAAGACTATAGATTTAGTTCGTTTCAAGTAAAACTAAATGAAAAGAGACTTCAGCGAATATTTACTATATATTTACGCGTTTTTAACGGTTTTTGATAAATTATGGTTTTTTTTTATTTATTTATTAAACCAAAATATTTCGAAACTGTTCAAATATTAGCTATATATTTTTCCCAGTCAAGTTTTATATAAGATTCTATAATATTGTATATAATATAATCGGTGAATCCCAACATACAAGCAAAGAAAATATTTTTTTGTTGTATATACTATTTGAGCACAACAGTAAATTTAAGTCAAAATGTTAAAAAAACAATATTTTCAAAAACTTATTTAAATTATGAAATTAAATATAATATGAAATATGAAATTTTTAATTACAATGGGTTATAGTAGAAAACTGTATTTAAAATAGATTTTTTTTTTTAACTTTTTCCATGGAAAATTTCTATCGTATGCAAATTGCAAATCTGTAATACTTCTTATTCTCAAACCATGCATACAAACGTACACATATTTCTCTACTTCTAAAAACCTATGAAAAGGTTAAGATATTTCTTTTATACATACACTTTTTGCGAAAAAATACTTTGCTCAAATTTCAGGGTTCCACGTACTGTAAATTCAAAGAAATTAGAAATATACGTATTAAAATGTATTTATATTGCATAATAAAAAATTGTTTATAAGGAAAAATTTTAAAACGGAGACACTTGCACTATATATAAAGATGTATGTATATGAAGCAAATATTCAAATAAATATTAATGGTATTAACAATATTGAGAATGTTATGTAATCACATCATCAATTTAAACAGCTGTGAATTTTAAATTATATAAAGTAACTAATTTATTCGAGATTAAATTGTAATTTTTGGCGTTATACAACATTATTGCTAATTTATTCAAAGTTCAAATAAAAACTAAAAATCTGAAGTTGAACTCAAAATGCAGTATTTTCAATGAATATACAAATGCGCGCACAATTTCAAAATGAATCGTTAATATTTATAATTTCCACTATCTTCGCTTTACAGCCAAGTACGATGGCCGATTACTTCGAGGACATGGGTCATGAACCCACTGGTGCCGAGGGTCCTAATGATTTTGCCAAACACTACAAGCGCCTACAAGTTTTAGCCATCATGAACGGCATAGATATGGAAATTGAGGTGCCCGAGGCATCTAAACGCGCAATCGCTGCACTGCCGGAGCATGTGATTGTCGAGGCGGATGTAAAGCAGGAGCTAGAATGTGCCGTTTGTAAGCAGCCGGCGGAGATCGATGAAAAATATAAAGTTTTGCCATGCAAGCATAAGTTTCATGAAGAATGTGTGCTGCTGTGGTTGAAAAAGGTAATTAAATGTCATCGGAAGGGGTGGCGCAAGTACAGTTTTCGATTTATGTATGTGTTATTATTATTTTCTCTTTATGTATGTGTTATTATTATTTTCTCTTTATGTTTTGTACCTTTTTCTAGGCAAACTCGTGCCCAATGTGTCGCTATGAGTTGCAAACAGATGATCCAGTTTATGAAGAGTTACGCGAATTTCGACAAGATGAGTCCAACCGACGTGAACGTCAAAATTATATGATGGATTCGATGTTTTCTTGAATAAAATCATTATAAATAACTTGGTAGTACATACAGACGATAGATTATGGTTGTGGTGGGGGGCGTTAATATCTGTAATTGTTTCTGGAAATGCATAAATAAATTCTATTTGAATGTCATATTTGTTTGTAAGCATTTTCTTTATACATCAAATCAGAAGTTAAAGAGTGGTAATACATTATTATTAGTCTGTAGTCTGTAGTTTTACATAAATATATTTAAAAATAAATAGTGATATTTTTACATATCGTCACTTAAAATGCAAAAAACGTAACATCACTTTTCACAAGTTTACAGGAGAAGAAAAACGAACAAGCGAAACTAATTCAATTAAAGATACGTTATTTTAAAATTTGGGTATACTTGATTATATCTGATAGCATGGACTTGAAACTTTCTAAATATATGTATGTAATATTATATGATTTAATGAATCGTAATCACCTTAAAACTCTATTTCAAATTTTTTAATGATACGTTATTTTGCATTTTAAGTGACGATATATATTTAATTGTTGGATTTTAGTTAATACACCTATATGTATTTATCTACGTTCTCATTTCCACTAGATGTTTTTTGGCGAATGCAACCCTGTGCACAAAAAGCGTTCCACATATTCCGATGCATTCCCAATATGAAAGGAATTTTTCGCTTTTGTGTTTTTGCTCGCATATTCGCCTTTTCATTATTTGTTTTCGTACACGCTATTTAATGAATACCGTTTGTTTTTAGTTTTGTAGTTTAATTTTCGCATTAAAAAGTAAAGTGCAAGTTAAATTCAATGCAGAAGCATGTTTCCGTGTCAGGCAGAATCGAAGAAAATTAAAACGCGCGAAAAGTCGGGCGCCACGGCATTAAGCGCTGTTGATAAAATGCAAAGTTTGAATCAGCCGGCAAAATTGTTTGATAATAAATTTGTGGTCACCGTTTTAAGGAATTCACGCTGTTGCCCTAATTGCCGCAGCGAATATTCAACGAATTATGATCTCCGTATGGGCGGTAAGTTGTAATAACTGGTTTCCGCGAGTGCCAATTAAATGCCTGAAATGTATAATGTGGTCCTTTGATTTTGTAAAGTTATAAAATAAATTAAAAGTATATGGTTGCAGATACCACATCAAAAGCAAAGGTTACAATACAAGTATGAGCGAATGGAAATTACAAGAATGAAATATGCACATTCTATGTACATACATGTACTGTTAGCCGATATATATACATACATAGATACAAGTTTTGCTAGAGTACTTAAAAAAGCGTGGTATCTACATACCCTTATCGGTTAGTAAGCAACAAGTATTTTTTATTCTTATTGGTGTAAATAACCACTTTCTAAAGAGGTATGGATTTGAAATATAAGTTATGTAGGCGCTTTATATAATTTACATAATGGGAGGATTATTTATGTATAATACATAGATTTTCAATAAAATAAAAACGCAATGTCAGAATTTAAAAATACGTTAAATACTCTGAAATTCGTATATTCTGGACTCGTAGTTATTACATAAAGTATAATATATAGAACTTTTTATAAGAGTTAAATTATAATATATATCAGTCGCATAAGATATGAATAATGTCTAAATGGAATCATAATTTAAGCAGAAAGGGTGTGTGATTTCAAATAAGGCGCTATAGAACAATTTAAACAATTATATCCTATTCAGTTTGCCACGAAAATTGTAATATCCAAAAGGAAACGTCGGAGATCCTTTAATATGTATATATAAATGTATAAAAAATTAGCTGAGTTGATTTAGCGGTAAATGTATAGTTTAGGTCCCCCAATTGAGGAGGCCTCAAAATTGAAATTAATTTAAATCGGGTTATTTTTACGCGTAGATTACAAATCCGTGAGCAGAAAGTGAATTTTTTCAATATTTCTTTTTTTTTTAATCGCTTCAAACTCCTTTCTGCACTGGCGGCCGCTCTTCAAAAAATAACCCTGGTCGGTCCAAAATCGGGATGTTCATAATTCAATCGCGTCAGAATCCTTTTCGCTGCTGTTTGTGCAGACATTCATTTAACACCTTTAAATAACGTTGACCATTGACAGTTACTGCTACACCGTTTTCTTCAAAGAAGTATGGCTCGACAACACACCTTGATGAAATTGCGCACCACGCAATGACTCGTTCTAGGTGAAGTTCCGTCTCGTGGATTATTTCTGGATTTGATTCACTCCATATACGGCAATTTTGCTTGTTAACAGGCAAATTAACAAGTGATTGTCCGCTTGGGCCATTTCAATCATTTTTTGGCAAAATTCTGGGCAAATGGCCAAATTTAGAGAGTTTAACCGGCTTTGTATGGATACATGTTTAAGTCCTGAATTATCTTATGTAATGACCGTCTGCTAACTCCAAGTTGCGCCGATAAGTTGCGAGTCGAAACTGTTGGATTTGCCTGAATTGACGATGCAACAGCCGCGATTGTTTCTTAAACATACGGATCTCGATAGTACGGTCTTCTTGCGATATATCCAGATTCAGTAAACATGTTTACCAACCTCATAATGGTCCATCTACTCGGGGGAGTGTCGCAAAATCCTGTTTGAATTCCCTTTGGACGGTAATGACGGACTGCAAATCATGGTACTGCTGCACTATCCAAACCCTCTTTTCGGTATCCCAAATATTAATTTTTAAAAAACTTAAATAATAACCTGCCAATTAAACAAAACGTAAGTCGATTACTCACACAAAAAAATATGATTACAGTTTGTTTTATTGTATTTATATATTTATGAAATTGCTTGAAGATAAGATCTCAAGTATACCAGATCAATGTGCCAAAAATTAATGCAATCAGTTCTTTTTATTTTTTTAAGTTATAAAATTATAAATATTAACGGTTTGGCGCTCAATATAAATAAAGTTTGTTTTTTAATATTGTCAATACTTGAAGGTATTTCCCCGGCTTTGATCCTGCAAGTTGTAAGAGTATAAAATGTTATTAAACCCAAACTTAGCCCTTCCGTACTTGTTACAAGTAATTTTCTCCCCAAAAAGCTGTTCATTTGTCGGAATATTTTTAACACTTTTTTGAGACATCCATCTGAAACTTTTACAAGTCATTTTTCCCCAAGAAACTGCTCATTTGTCGGAACCTCCGATATTGTACGACTATAGGATATAGCTGCTATAAAAACTAAACAATCAAATAGCCTAATAATACTGCTCTGTATCAGCTAGCCTGGGGGCGAGGTGATGCAATGCGCCTTCCTAGACATCGAAGGTACTTTTGACAATACGTCTCACGAAAGCGTGAAAAGAGCACTAGAGAAAAGCAATGATACCAGGATTCGTATCGGCATAACAAGAGGTCCACAAGGTGGATGAGCTGCTAACTAGTAATGGAATTCGCTGTCAGGAATATGCGGATGACATGATTATTTTAGCCAGGGGTAAATTCGTAGACACTCTTTGTGACGTCGTTTCCTGGGCCTTCCGTTAGATGACCTCGACGACAACGAATATAGAATTTATCACCCTAACGGGGATTAGGTAACCGTTACAACGACAACAACAACAACATCGTACAAAGGGGATTAACCCTGGGGTGTGGTTGGTTTAAACATAAACCTCTCGCAAACTACAATCGTTCCATTTACGAGACGAGGGTTCCTGCCAGGCCTCAACAATCTATCCTTTGGAGGCAGAGGATTGGAGATGACTAATATGGTGAAATATCTGGGCCTCACGCTGGATTCCACTCCTCGGTGGAAGCAGCTTGTGAACCTCACCATAGCCAAGGCTACAAAAGCACTCATGGTGTGCAATCGACTTGCCGGGAAATCCTGGGGCTGCAACACAAGGATTATCAAGTGAATGCACACCATGATCGTGAGACCGATTTTCACATATGTTGCGGTGGCTTAGACTTCAAAAGCATTGGAGACTTCGGTAGGACTCCAATTATTGAAGCTACACGTCGTGCCTGCAGCTGCACATCGGGTGCAATGCGAATTCCCAACGCCACATAGAGTAATCAAAAAAGGCAGCCAAACATGCATTGCTTCAAATGACAGCAGAAGTGTTTGGCAGAGAGAAGGCTAGCTCTTCTCCCAAGGGACAGCATTAACAAAATGGTCAGCTTCACTAAGAAGTTTAAAGTTACCTTTGGCAGCAAGGCGAAATGGAATGATTCATCGCTGGACCTGCTGCTAAGGGATAGCACTATCAAGTGGTACACCGACGGCTCGAAAACGTCGGAGGGGATTGGTGCAGAGGTTGCCAAACTCTTCATTCCCATGGGAAGTTTTCCGAGCATTTTTCAGGCCGAAGTCTGTGCTATAAGTCGGTGTGTAGAGATAAACCTCCAACGCAACAATCGTAACGAAAGTATTGCTTATGAGGTTAAATCGCTACTAGTGCAGGAGTGTATAGAACGGCTGAACAGCCTATCAAGTCGCAACCAAATGCACCTTATTTGGGTGCCTGGTCACAGGAGTATAGCCGGGAATGAATTGGCTGACGAGCTGGACCGCTCTGCTGCTTCCACCAGAATAGTAGGACCGGAACCGTACATCGCGGTTGGTCTTCAGCCCATAAAGGAGCTGCTCCGTAAGGAGGAAAGAGTAGGCAGGGAGAGACATTGGCAACATCTCCAAGGCATGCGTAACCAATTTTCCTAGAAATAAATTCTGGCTACTTGTCGCATTCTATATCGGCCATTGCAAGCTCAAGAAGCATCTATACAACATGGGGCTAGTTTCTTGATCTAACTGCCGATTCTGCGACACGGAGCCGGAAACCCCAGAACACCTGCTTATGAACTGCACAGCAGTCTGCAGTCGTAGAATTAAGTCACTTGGATCCATGTTTCCGAATAGGAATCACATCGCCTCATTACCACCTAGCTGTATATTGGAGTTGATCAATGTGCTGGGGCTAAGTGAGTCGTTGTGACTTAGGGTAAGGCATAATAGACCCTAAGTCTAGTTGAAGAGACGAGTTGAAATATACCACAATAAGATCACATTGCAGAGGGGCATATGCAGTTCAATTTTTTTTTTTTAAAGTAAGCGTGGTTCCGCTCTATCGACGCTGTGAAAATGGGTGAAGTCAGGTGGAAACTTCGCCCACTTCCCATATAACGCTACTGTTAAAAAATACTAAAAGCGCGATAAATCAAGCACTAAACACGCCAGAGACATTAAATTTTATCTCTGGGATGGTATGAGCTGACTTTATAGGAACCGCGTTCAAAATTAGTCCGTGGGCGTGGCACCGCCCACTTTTAGGTGAAACCCCATATCTTGGGATCCGCTAAATCGATTTCAACCAAATACATAACATTCCCTTCATATTTCTATTATATAGTGCGAAAATGGGCGAAATCGGTTTACAACTACGCCTATTTCCCATATAACACCATTTTAAATTCCATCTGATTCTTTCACTTTCCATTATGCAAATCAAGCGATTGTATCGGAGTAAAACTTTGCGCGAATAATGCGTTTAAAGTATTCCACCTAGGAAATAAAAATTGTCTAAATCAAACCAAAACTGTTCAAGCCCCTAGGTACTGAATGTGTGCCTAAAGTTGACTTTTTACCGAAAATACCGGTCAATGTGTAAGATATATAATTGAAATTCAAATAATAAAATAAATAAATGAAACTCTCGATAATAGTATGTTTTTGTGTCAAAAATGGGTTGAATCGAATCAATAATTCCTTCAATATAAATTTTTGCCAATACCTGGGCTTTGATCCTTGCAAGTTGCGAGAGTATAAAATGTTCGGTTACACCCGAACTTACAACTTTCTTACTTGTTTTGTTTTGTTCATATTTTTATTTTTCATTGGCTTAATTTTCGTTTAATAGTTCATATGAAACTTAATTTCAGATTTGCACGTCAAAAGCAATCGACCGTTTCTACTCGGCTGCGGGCATAATATGTGCGAAAACTGTATTTATCAAAATCACCAGAATCTCGTTTGTAGCGTTTGTCAACAACCAATTGTCATAGAGAAACGCGGCAATGTACCCAATTCACCGAATAGCCATGCCATCCAGCAGACACAACAACGACACTATACTCAACCTCGCCACGAAAATTTTAATGTACGCGATTACTTCTACATGAATTTCTTTTTAATGGGCGAACTAAATCATTTGCGTTTCTATCGTCGTGAAAGTTCGGCAAATAACACCTTAATGATATCTGATCGCAGTCCGCCATCGCCAACATCCAGTGGAAGTCGTACGCTAGCACCTGGCATACATGCGCCACTGAACCGTTTTGTCGAGCGCTGCACAGAGTGTGAGCTGGAGCCGGCTGTGGGCCTATGTCGCCAATGTACTGTTCACTACTGCCGCATCTGCTATGATTCCATACACATGTATGGTAAGGCACTGAAACGCCATTCGTTCGTGACGCTCGACAAGGATCGTCAAGCCATCAAAGAAACGGAATTACCGCGTCCCGTTTACTGCCAACAACACAGGCGCGTTAAGGATCGGTATTGTCACACGTGCCAATTGATTTGTTGTTACGTGTGTGTGCAAAGGATGCATAAAACGCACCACGGCATGTTATTGGTGAATGAGGTGGGTGTGGGTGGCAGTTTGTTTAATTATTTATTATTTAATTTTTATACTCTCGCAACCTGTTGCTACAGAGTATAATAATTTTGTTTACCTAACGGTTGTTTGTATCACCTAAAACTAATCGAGTTAGATATAGGGTTATATATATATAAATGATCAGGATGAAGAGACGAGTTGAAATCCGGGTGACTGTCTGTCCGTCCGTCCGTGCAAGCTGTAACTTGAGTAAAAATTGAGATATCTTTATGAAACTTAGTAGACATGTTTCTTGGTACCGTGAGACGGTTGGTATTGCAGATGGGCGTAATCGGACCACTGCCACGCCCACAAAACGCCATTAATCAAAAACAAATAAATTGCCATAACTAAGCTCCGCAATAAGATACAAGACTGTTATTTGGTACACAGGATCACATTAGGGAGGGGCATCTGCAGTTAAATACATGCTATAATAACAAAATTCATCCATACTATTGACGGTGTGAAAATAGTTGAAATCGGGTGGCAACTCTGCCCACTCCCCATATAACGGTACTGTTAAAAACTACTAAAAGCGCCATAAATCAAGTACTAAACACGCTAGAGACATAAAATTGTATCTCTGGGATGGTATGAGATGACTATAGGAACCGCGTTCAAAATTAGATAGTAGGCGTGGCACAGCCCACTTTTAGGTGAAAACCCATATCTTGAGATCTGCTTAACCGATTTCAACCAAATTCGGTGTATAACGTTCTTTTCATATTTCTATGTTATAGTGCGAAAATGGGCGAAATCGGACTACAACCACGCCTATTTCCTATATAACACCATTTTCAATTCCATCTGATTCTTTCACTTTCCACTATGCATATCAAGCAGAAATGATTATATATCGGGGTAAAACTTTGCGTGAATAATACGTTTAAAGTATGCCAATTTGTGACCAAAAATTGTCTAAATCGAACCAAAACTGTTCAAGCCCCTAAGTACTAAATATGTGGACCCCAGTGCCTGTAGTTGACCTTCTACCGAAAATATCAACCAATCCACAAAGAAATCTCAAACGAGTATACTATATGACTTTGCGAGAGTATAAAATGTTCGATTACATCCGAACTTAGCCCTTCCTTACTTTTTTTTTTTTATAATTTTAGTTTTTGTAAATTATTATTTATGTTCGTTTATAGAATGAAGGCTTGCAGGATGAAATTGGCACTATTTTGGAATCGGTGAAAATGTCACGTGAGAATCTGCGTAAATCACAGAAGGTAAGTGAATTGACACTTATTTGTGCTAAAAATACAAAAAAATGACTTAATTGATTTAAGTGGTTACCCCTTTATAGGATTTTCAAAATATGAATATTTAATTTTTTTTAGAATAAAGTTCGTTTTGACCTATAAACATTATTCAACTGGTAGAATAGTAAAAAAATGTACCTGTCCTATTCGCCGTAGTATCGAATTGTGCGGGTCAGCCACCATCTAATACTTAAAATACGGGCGACTATGGTACTCGGAAGTTATCATACCTATTCACTTGAAATTTTTATCACATACCATATGCAACAATTTACAGTAGTATAGGTTAAAAAATCGAAATTTACAAACATCCTGAAAAATTGGTTGGTAAACACCTCAAAATAATTCTCTCAAATATGAGTCTTGATATTTAAAGGTTTTTCTTTTGTTTGCTTTTCAGTTTTGCTTTTTAGTTTCCTTTCTTTTTTTTTATTAATAAAAATAAAATTTCATTTCTTAATATCTACTATTTAAAAAAAAATATATATAATATATACATATATCTTATGCTTATGTGTGTAATTGAGTTCTCTATATAATGGTCCTTACCGATTTTTTCATTAACCTACCAGTCAAATTAATTTTTTCGGTAATTTTTCGTTAAACAGGTGAAACCGTTTTTTTTTTTTACAAGTTCGCCGTTTTGCGAAAAATTGATGTAAAGCTAAAAACTTAAGTAGTCTGCTCTCAAAGTTTATGTAGATTAAAATACCGTTTCTAATTTTGATTCAAATAATGAGTTCCTAGAATCACTAGAAAACTAATTCCAGAGATTAACCCAGTAGTCGCCATTTTTTTTTAAATCTCAATAAATACCAAAATACATGTTTAATAAAGCATGAAAGAGCAATCGTATTACTTTTCCATACTCACATTTTTTTGTTTTTTTTTTGTTTAATTAACAAAATGGCGACCTCAGAAAAAACTAACAGTTAATTGTTTACAAAAAATCGAAATTAAAAGCAAATATCCTTCGATCAGGCACAAGTTTTTTATGTTTACAAAAACACGAAAGTTTCAGAGCTCCCGAGAACCCTTTGCTAATTATCTAATAACTCGAAGAGTATTTGTTGAATTTACTGAAAATTTTCAGAAAATATTTCTGAGATATACTTTAAGAAAATGCAAAAATAAACTCGACTTTTTAAAAACTCTGACTACCCATAACCCATTATACCCTTTTTGAGGGCCTAATACCCTTATATTTGTTCAAAATAATTATGTGACGATTCAAATTATAAATTGAAGTTCATTTATCATTTTTTTTATCATAAAGGATTGTTGCTAAATTTATTTATTTTTTATTTATTTAACCTTATTTATCATATTTACATTTCGTTTAAAGTATGCGTCATCCAAAATACTAAAAACTAAATTTTCAGTTTTTGCATTTAAATAGTTGTGTACAAAAACAAGCAGTTAATGAATATGGCAAGTAACATATATAGTCATTAACGGTCGTTAATTGACATGAGTTGCTAACCAATTTGCTAAATAATACTTAAAACTACAATTACTGTTGCATTTGTTGCAGTAAAGACAAAATATAAATACAAGTAATACCGTAAAATAAAAAATATTAAAATGTCGCATAATTATTTCATTCAACTACTGTTTCACAATTTAATTCTCAAATGGCATACGTTTGTGCTCCACCACGAATTGTTTACACACTAAAAATCTTATATTTTTATTACACCCAATCCCAACTCAATTTGTTTCTGTTGTGGTAAACAAGAAACGCTTCTCATACACATTTTCCCCTCATGCCTCCGCTATTCTGCCACACAACACATTTACCGCACATCCTTCACACTCTCAGCGCCATAGTACATCTTGGCTCCCAGCTGACCAGCTGCCCCCTCGGCTTTAATTTCGATTACTTCCACTTTTTCCACATCGATATTGGCCGTTTGACGCACGGGTTTCGGTGATGACTGCACTTGTGATTGATTTTCCTTTTGCAGCAGCTGCCTTTGGGTTGTTGTCTGCGCCGTCTCCGTTGTTAGTGTTCTACTCGCCGCTTCGTCGGCATTTCGTAGATTATGCTGCGCAGCTGGTGCATCATTTGAATCATCATCATAGTCGGGCCCTTGTGTTGAAGAGACGACGATCGGTTTCAGACTAAATGCGGTCGTGCCGTCCACCTTACTCGCAGTCGCTGCCGCCGATACGGTCGATATTGTGGAACTTTCAAAGGTATCAATGCTGCCACGCTTCGCTATATCATCGACTTCGTCGTCGATCAGTAGATTGCGCTCGGAGCTTTGTTCACTCACGTGTGCATTGATTGCGCCAAGATTATTATGTGCGTTCATGGTTCGTGGCAGCGTTCGCAAGTCCGCCACTGTAGTCACTTCGGTATCGCCATCATCATCAGTGTCATCATGGACGTTGTCATCGTGAGCGTTTGTGCCATGCTCCGCATCAGCTCCGTCACTGGCTTCGTTGCTTTCGATGTTGTTGCTCGTTTCAGTGCCTGTGATTGCTGCAACATCTGCAATAGCCGCTTTTTCTACTTTCTCCTTTTCAATTCGCATTTTTTCCTCCATCTCTTGGAATTTCATTGCTAAATACCTGCGAGACGTGGATTGGGATTTGTAAGTTAAAAAATAGAAGACCATTAGATTGACATATTGTGTTTGATAACTGGTCGAAACAACAATAAATACTATGTATAAGTTTACTTGTCGACAAGCGGTCCACTGTAGTCTTCGGGGAACTTCGGCGTAAATGGTAAAATATACTTATAGAGACGTTCATTCAGCACATAAAGCTGTGCAGTTGTGGAGCATTTCACATTGAACCACCAGTCACAGGTGAGGGCAATCTAGAAAAACAGATAACGGAATAAAATAAAAAATAAAAATATATAAAAATGAAAAAATAAAATAAAAAGCTAAAGAAATTAAAAAATGAGAAGAAATATCGTACAAAACTACCTACCTGACTGAAAATGGTGCCATTGGGGCATAGAAACGAAGCCTTGCCGCCATTCAGATCGCAATAATGCCACACTTGACAGTTTGTTTCCGGATCTCCGAAGAAGCCTTTGTAGCGTTGCTCCGCACAGTTGAAATTTGTTTGTGGTATATCAGCATAATTGGGATAATCGATGCCAGCGCGTCCGGTGCTCGGACCGGGATGCTTATCTAAAAGCAAATCATTACGAAAAGCAATTATCATGAAACTTCAATACCTACTTGGCACAACTGGCGATAACACACTACTGAGGTCTGGCACTGTTCCGTTCAAGTCTTCGCTGCTCGTGCCGTAGTCATAGTCCGGCGCGACAGCCGGTCGTTCATGATGCTGGGACGGATTCGGCACAATTGTTTGTGTTTGTTTAAGATTCTCCAATATCGTGACAAGCGTCTTAATCGAATTATCAATATTTTCCGGCGTCAGCGTTCGTGGCAAGTGATTGCTCGCCTGCAACTTGTGCAGAATCTCTGCCAACGAGGAGGAGCGTATGTCTGGTAATTGGTTGGGATCCAAAATCGCTGTGGTTTTTGCTGCCACTGGCACCGGTGGATTGTAATATTCGGGCACATTTACTTGTTGCTTCTCTTGTTGGTTTTGCTTAGTGGGTGGTGTTACTTCTAACGCAGGTGGCGGCGCTGGTAGTGTCAACTTGCTAGCGATACCACCGGCATATTTGTGTGATGGACGTAATTTTGCTGCTGGCGTTGCCGGTTTTATAACATCGCCAAAATTGAGCTTCGGCTCGGTATAAGCATATTTCTGTTTAACCACCACAGGTGTAGCTGCCAATTGCGCTGGAGGGGGTGGTGGTTGTGATTCGAGCGCTTTGGCGGCCATAATTGGACGCCTTGTGGCGGAGTTATGTTTGCTGTTGGCCGGTGGCAACGGTTGTAAGCGCTGTGTTGGCTGTTGCTTGTAGATTGGCCTGTGGGTGGAGTCATAGTAATCTTGGTTAATGCCGCCGACAGGTACAATCAATGGTGGCGATGAAGTGGATATGAAAATAAAAGTATCTTGTGGCGTTGCAGCCTTTTGTGGCACGTTAGTTACTACGTTGTGTTGTTGTTGCTCATCGTCAAGCGATTGCTTGGGATCGTCAACGATGTAGTCAATGTATTGAGTTGCCGGTGGTCTGTGGGGGTAAGATAAGCTTTCGACATTTTAGTTGGGTTTCTATTATAGTAAATATAACTATATACACAATGTTACTTTGATGCAAAATAATTTTAAAAGTATTAATAATAATTAATTAACGCATATCTTTTGTAGGTTTTTTCGGAAAGATTGTTCTTTTGTTTAAATGTTTCTATAGAATGCTGCCGAGAGTTACATATATTAGACTATCGTATAAACGGTTTATCATCTATTATGCATTTGTGTTGTTGTTGCGTTAGCAGCAGAAAACATTCCCCAAATAATTTTGTATCATTTCGGGTTTTCATCGATTTTTGTTTCAAACACACTTTCGTCGGATACCCTCCCGTACACAATATCGGTATATTTTCTGTCTGGTTTCGAAGTATTTAATCTCAATCATTCATATTGCTTCATTTTTCAACTTACTAGGTGCTTATAACAATTTGAAAATATTAGACCTGCTTTCATTTGTTAAACAATACTCAATATTAAATAAATGGAAGTCAGAAGCAATAACGCATTTACTTCCCCCTCGCTCGATGTCTGATGAAAATACAATATATACATATAAATAACAGCTATTTCACTTACTGATAGACTTAATATGAAATATGGGTCTTATTTTCAACATAAAGTACTCAAACATATAGAATATTCTAGATTAAGATCTTTTTAAATCAGAATTTAGGAGACTTGTTGATATTTTGTTTGTTGCTGCTGTAAAAAGTGGCAATTCTTAGCCATATGTTTTACCAGTTTCGTGTCTTAGGCTTGACGGTTGTGGAATTGTGCGATTATTGTGTTATTTTATTTTAAGGGGTCACACTAGGCGTGCCCTATTCACGATCATAATCAAATTCAAAATTCTCTAAACACCGGTTATGAAATTCGAGTTTTAGCAAATCTGTATGCACATTTTTTTACCTTCAGACCATGAAAAAATAATCAGCTACTATACTCTTATCTTTTCCTCATATTAATTCGATAAATTTTTTCGAAATCGGCGTGAATTGAGACTTGTTCTGAATTTACCTAGCATCTTTTAGTCCAATTTACAAAGAAAAAATTATTTAAATATAAAATAAATACTCGGTGATTTAAACAAAAGAGTTAGAAGCTTTCCACCAATTTAAAATTTGTTATTAAGTTCGATAGCTAATTCAATGATCGCATTTGGACTAATGTATGCAGGCCTTTGTGACGCCATGAAAATAGAACTCCTGTATCCGACCTTATAAGTTGGCAATAAAAATTTGCTTAGGCGTTTAATTTCTATCCAGCTCGGCGGGATATTTGGAAGTGTGAGCTCCCAAGTGATTAAGCCTGATCTCTCAAACGCGGGACAATCAAGAAGGAAGTGTTGAGGTGTTTCCACCTCGTCTTCTTCCATGCAGCTTCTGCTGCTGGCATACGCTAAGATTCTTAACCTTACAGCGTAGACGCCGATAGCACAATGGTCTGTTAGAGCCCCGACAACTAGGGAGACGCTAGCCTTACTGAGGGCGAAGAGTTCACTGAAGCTCTTACGATCGATCATGATCCCAGCGCCGTCCAATCTCCCGCAAAGCCCTGCTATTCGGTAGTAGATCAAACGGCGCTAGGGTGCCTTTCCTTGCCAGCTCATCAGCTTTACAATTACCTGCGATTCCACATAAAATTGGACAAAAAATCATACTACCATAAAGACTTGCGGTTGCAACTATTTTTTTAATGCTGCCAATTTATAAGAAGTCTTGCCACCTGTTTGCGAAATTTACTTCAAGCAAATCAAATTATATTCGATAATTAAAAATATTATTTTCACAAATATTCGACACTTTTCAGTAGGATTGCCAACTATCTAATCATAGATATATAATATATATCAAAAGTTCTTAGAAATTTTATAAAAAAGTGATATGACTTTTATGGTTATTGTAATACTTATTGATGTTAATGAAAATTATGTGCGGATTTTTGGAATTTTTGTAAATTGTTGTACTGAATCCAGAATGTAAGCTTTTGCTTGTACCTTATATCTGATAATGCTAATACCTAATTACATAATGCGATTTCATACACCAGAGTTATTTTGTAGGCTTTGCATGAAATATTTACTCACCCCAAACCGCTTACGTATTGTGGCCGTTGCTGCCGATATGCAATGCCACCACCACTTGAGCCTTTAATCTCCAATTTTTGTTGTTGTTGTTGCTGCTGTTGGAATGCATCCAATGCCTCGCTCACCAAAGTGCGCACGGGAATTTTTACAACTTGCTTGACCGTTGCCACATTCGACGGTGGCTGATGATTGGGCGGCACATTCAACTCGGGATGTGGATACACGGCATGCCTTATGGGACTATGTTGCGGATAATTAACTTGTGCGTTCGCATCTAATTGCTGCTGATTATTGGCGGCGGGGGCAAAGGGTGGTGCGGGTGCAGATGGGGGAGCCTCGCCATCTCCAAGCACCACAATTTGTGAATGTGGCGGTTGCTGTGGCTGCTGTTCCTCGTCGTATTGTTGTTGTTGAATAAAGTTTTCACGCTGCTTAGCGTGTTCGCGTTGCTTCTGTTGTTGCCTATTGTAACGGATACGTTGTTGTAAATAGCGCACGTATTTCTCCTGTGGCGTCATTGTCTCATCATTCAAATACGAGTACGAATCCTGCTGTGGCACCAATTCTTGCTGCAGCTGCGGCTGTTGTTGTTCTTGCTCTAGTAATTCCTGTGCCGGCGCAATCCCGTCGAAAAAATTCACCGGTCTCGGCAATTGGAAATGCGACTGTTTTTGTCGCGGTCGCGTCGAATGCCTTTGCGAATGTATTTGTTGTTGCTTCAATTGTGTTTGCTTTTGCGGTGCAGATGTTAATGATGGATGCACAGGTGCTGATGGCTCATTGATTATGTTATAGGAGGAACTACAATGAAAATGACCGCATACGCGAGATAATAAGCAATTATGTATGTATATAAGTATATGTGTACGTGTGTGAATTTGCGGTTTAGAATGACAAACGAAAAATGTTAATATGCAAAATCGTGCCAACAATCGGTAAAAACAATATGACTAATAAGTTCAACGGTAAATGTCGCCATGTCACACAAAACACACACACTTACTCATATAGAAGAAAATAGGTGTGTTTGTATGCAGTGTGGGGCGTATTGTGTGACCCACCCTTGTTGTCATGTATCCGTGCTGTGGCATTAAGCAATATCTGCGCACATTATCGTTGCAATTTGTCATGTTCGCCTCAAGGCCTTTATGTCATACATTTTCAATTTTCGGTTCTTATATAATATGATTCCCAAAATTATTTGGTATGGATGTGTAGAATTGCTTTCAAATATACGTGCATACGTAAATATGTACAAAAAAATAGTTAAAATATCTTCAAAAAAACCGCTGCATAAATTCGTTTTCCCAAAATTAATTTTTATGGTTAATTGCGAAGTCAGACTCGGTCGCAAGCATACAACAAATGTTTTATAGAAAGTCAGATCTAAAGAAATAAAAAATGTAATTTTTGAGTTAATAACGCAGAAATGATCATTAACTAAAGCTTTATATGTATGTATGGTATTAGTAATAGTTTTCAAACGTGGAATGTATATGCCGTTATTATTCCGAAGAAGGTGAGCAAAACTTGAAAACTCCAAAAGCGTGTTTTTTTTTGTCAAAATATTGAAATTTGAGTTATACCTGTACTGAAGTAAGGCCACAATGTGTTATTGAAATATTATATTATGAAATGACAATATACAAGGTGCGTTCCAAAGTAAACAGTAAAAAAGTAACAAAGTAAACTCTAGTGGCGCCATCTATATGTCGACTAGTGAGTTAGAATCTGCTATCCTTAATCGACTTCCAGTAAAAATTTCATGACATTTATCTGTTGGAAGTGAAGTTATTGCGTTTTAAGTGTCAGTATGTTTTTGTCATCGGTGCAAAAATGAGCTTCGAACAAAGAGCCAACATTGTTTTATAATTTTTTTTTAAATTGGTAAAACTTTTACCAAAACGTTTCAATTGATGAAACAAGTTTATGGCGATGATTGCCTATCCCGTAGCAGAGTGCACGAGTGGTTTCAACGTTTTCAAAGTGGTCGTGAGGACATAAATGAGAAATGAGCCGAAACCCAAAAATCGCGCCTGGAGAAGTCAAAAGTAAAGACAATGTTGATTTGTTTTTGTGATTCCAAGGGTATTGACCACTAAGAATTTGTTCCACCCGGCCAAAACGTTAATGCGGTATTCTACCTTGGAGTTTTGAAGCGTTTGGTGCGCTGTATTCGACGTGTTCGGCCCGAATATCGCGAAGATGGAAGTTAGCGTTTGTTGCACGATAATGCACCGTCTCATCGATCGACGCTTGTGGCCGATTATTTGACCAAAAATAACAATCCACCACTAACCGTATTCACCTAATATGGCACCGTGCGACATCTACCTTTTCGAAAAAATGCATTTGCCAATGAAAGGAAAGCGTTATGTAGACGTGGAGGCCATTCAAAATGCTTGCACCGGCATACTGGCGGCCATACCGGTCAACAAGCTAAAACACTCGTTCGACATGGTTTTGGACCGTGCAAAACGCTGTATTTAAGCAGGAGACTATTTTGAATAAAATTAATTGACTTTGCCGATAAAACCATTTGTTCTCTTTTTTTTTTTTAAAGTCCTGTTTACTTTGGAACGCACCTTGTATTGTGACGCGATGAGAGCAAGGTGCTACTGTTGTGTTTTCATTATAGCGTGAGCTTTAATTATGATATAATATTATGGTCTTAATACTATATAAATATAAAATCCACTTAATATAGAACTACTTCAGATATCCATCGTACAACATGCTTAAGACTATGAGCTGTATCATCATTTTGGGTATATTGTCAGTGAAATGCTTGGAAACGATCTAGCTTCACAAACAAAATGTCATTATAATGGAAGGAGAGTTACTTTTCCTGGGACAAAACTCCATCAAAAAGCTATGAGGAGATACACAAAATGTAAACTATTAATCTTGTTTGCTACATTCCGAGACAAGAGGCAGAAGCTGGCTGACTCCATTCAACGCAGATTCCATTAAGTATTGAATAAATCTTCGAAGAGTCAAACGTGGATTTTTTTAATTCCTTAAGCAATATTCCAATATTATTTTTAGAAGAGTTATTTTTGAGGACAATGTGAGTTTTTATGCTTCAGAATTTCACTTTTTCTGTTTTACTCTAGTAAAAAAATATCCATTATTTTTGCATTAAGTTGAAGTTGGAATAGTTAAAATATCAAATGTGCACCGTTGTGTTCAATAACTTGTTACCATTTTGAAGGTACTTTCATACTACTTCTCTCATAGAAGCTATCTTCTCTATTGACCAAAAATTGGGACAGTCGATTTTCACCAGCTTCTCTTGAGGGGAATATTTTATTAGCGAAACTATTCAACAGAAAGATGCTAATCACTTGGTGCCAGGTCCGGACTAGAACGTATTTACGTTCTCGTAAGAGTTGTGATTCGCAGATGGAAATCCGGTCTTATCACAAAACGGAAGTTTTTTAATACGAAATGTTATTTTTCTAAAGTCGTATAACGCGAGATGCAGATTACTAGACCTATTATAACTATTGTGGTGCTTCTAATAAGAAAGGAACGCCGAGCTTCTATGAAGTTTTTATGAACTGTTCGATATTTCTCTAAAAATATTGGACCAAAGGTGTAAAGTTACCTAGCCTTTGAGTAATTTTTAGTAGAAGTTGAAATAATGCAAACCAAAACTTATTTTAAAAAGACAAAAAGAGCTTTAATCCCTACGGTAAATGTCCACAGGGATAACATTTTCTAATCGGATTATCAGTTCATTTGGTTAAAATCTCACATCCTTAAAGATATGTATATGTATAAAATCTTAGCAATACATTTTTTTTTATTTATGTGAACCTGATTAACCCAACCACGTGTTATTCATTCCATTTTTATTTCCTTGACAAATTTCTGTCATTCGAAAATTGATTTCGCGCATTTATGAGAAACCAAAACGGGCATCAAAATTAAGTGCAAATGATGACACATAAAAGAATGCGCCAAGTTTTACGATTCATCATTACGGTTGTAAATCCCGGTGTCCCGTTTTGTTAGCTCCGAAAATTCTTGGGTTTTAGCCAAATATTGTAATTTCTTCCCTGAAAACCTAGCTGTGGCAACATCAACACAAACGAAGGAAAACACCGTACCTCAATTGGCGTTGTCATTATTTGTACGGAAAATTGTTGAAATAAATTTCACTCATACCTTGTCGTCGAATGTGGAATCAGTGCTGCACCTTTGGCGGGTCCTCTTGGCAGCTCTGCTTGCTGTGGTGCGAGTGTATCTCCGGGTACGCCAGTTTCAGTAATGTACTTTTGCTGTTGTTCATACTGTTGTTGTTGTTGTTGGTGATGCGCTTCAATCGGTACATCAGAAGGTACTAGCGTATAGACGTTGCCTGCTGTGGCATGCGGCGGCGAAATTGGCTTGAATTGTGTGGGTTGTGGTTGTTGCTGCTGCTGTTGTTGTGGCAGATTGACTGGCTGCAGCGGTGGCGACAGATCGTCAACCAACACTACCGTCGGATTGTCATAGCTATAATGAAGTGCGTTGACATCATGATTGTTGTTGTTGTTATTGTTATTGTCATCTCCGCTTACTGGCGTGTAAATAATCGGTATAAAATGGCCTGGTAGTGTATTTGACGCTGTAAATGGTGTTAAATTGACTTTTGATGATTTTGGTCGCGTTTGCTGGCGAAACACTGGCGCCTGTTGATGCTGTTGTTGTGATTGTTGTTGCTGGAGTTCATGTTGTGACGCAAATACCGGCAGTTGTTGCTGGTGCACACCGTTATGGCGAACCGTCTTCTCGTACGGCAGCTGTTGCACCGCTGGCGGCTTTGTGGGCGGGAAATGTTGTACCGTTTTGTGCTGTGAATTATTTACAACATAATTAATTTAATTTTCTCGTTAGTTTAACGGCAAATCTGCCTTGAGCAGCATTGATGCATTGTTCATTGCCTTGACCTCCGCTCCCTCCAACTTACTTTGTGCTTTATGATGGGCGCCACTGTGGGTCCTGGTGGTCCGGGTGGCAATAAATGCAACACTGGCACTTTACTGCTTTTCGTATTGATGAGTGCTTGTGAGAGTGGGGGTGGGCTGTGTTGTGGCATGGCTGTAGGCGGTGGTGATGATGGTCCTGCGGCGGTGTATGCCAACTTATGATAGACATCGTCGACACTTGGAAGATAGTGTTGTTGTGGCGCTGGTGCGCTCAGTGTGCCAGGTGGTGGTGCGCGTAAATTCATGTACTCCTGCGGCAAAGGTATGCGTCCACTGGACGGTTGTAGAGGACCTTCCACCGACATCGGTTTCGTATATTTGCTGCTGTGTGGAAGCGCTTCTTTCGGCTGTGGAAAATAAAAAGAAGTATACAATTGATTTGATTTTACAAAATTAAGTATATATGGTACATATGTATGTATGTGGGGTTTTAAAATAATCAGGGTTTTAAAAGCCCATACATACATCTCTGATGTTGAAAGCTTAAAAAATTCTAAAATTATCATTAAATGTTCGGCTTAAAATAAAAAAAAAAAAAATATGAGGAGGCCTATCCTTGACTTTTAAATTCAACTTAACGTAATATAATATTAAATGTGATAGACTCAATAACCTCGTCTAAGACAATTCCATGCATTTAATAAAAGTATAAAGCAAGAGTTTTTTCGAAGCTTTTGGTAGATCTTAGCTCTCTAGAAGACATTTTAAACTATTGACTATGCTAATTCTCTTTTTTATTTTTTTAAGAATTTGTAACAAGATTTAAATCCAAATTAAATCCAAAATTTTGTTTCTACATGTGCAAGTATTCGGATCCCGCATGCGCTCACTTACAAGACCACCTTTGGAGCGTTTGAATCTCTTCAAAAACCGTTACTTATGTAACGTATGTAAATTTTTACTTACTCCTTGAACCGCATATTGTTGATTAATCGGAAAATCCGGTGCCAAATAGAATGCCATGTAGGGTATCAACCGACGATTACGCTCGGAAGCGCTTAACACCGAGTCACTGGCAAACGTATCATTATTTGAATCAAGAAAAAGCTCTTCTTTAAGTAACGTCTTTGTGATGTTGGCAAATTTTGGTACTGGTGTAATTTGTATGCAGTTACCGATCTTGAGAAATGCTGTAGAAAAAAGAAACAAAAGTATTTTAATAACAGTTTATTTTAAACTTTGGTAATTATTAATATTGAAGTAAGTTTCAAAGTCCTAGTTTGGTTTTTTGCTTTTTCGCTACGTCTAAGTCGGAGGATATGGGATTGCTAGATTAATCTTTCCATAATCCAATAATCCACAGTCTCATTAATAAAAACTAAATCATATCGAAGATGATAGAAAAACATTTTACCTCTATTATGTACGACGACAAGTGTTAGTGCATTTAGTAACCGCTTGGAGACCATGCACCAAAATTTGGATTATGAGTAGTATGGTTATTTATTAATTTGAGTTTAGACACGCATAAGAATAATTAGTTTTGCGAAACATATTCACATAAAATTTCAAGGACGTCATTTTTTTCCACTTTATGTTACATTTCACGAATTCTTGCACAAATTTGAGAAATACTGATTTAGTAGCCAGGACTGATAGACCGTCAACCATACACCAGTCGCCTTACACAGTTGGATTGTACAAGCTATTTTAGAAATCGTCGACGTACATAAAAATATTTGCAATCGTATCATCGTTAGTGCATCGCGTTAAGTGTGGTATCAATATAATGAATAACCGTGGTTTTAATGCCAGATTTTATTTATTAAAAATTACGTAATACACGTATTTTCTCCTAATTGAATTCTTTTATGATTTTATTTTCAATTTTAAATAAGTTGAGTTTTCTTAAAGCCCTTCTTCCAAAAATTATGACGCCTTAAACAATCTGAGCATAAACATAAAATGTTCACTTCTTAAGTTTAAAGGATTTTGAAATATGATTGCGATTTATTCAATTATTAGTTTAAAACCTAAAATAGCCCTTTTTTATGGTCACTGAAATTGATATACATACATCTTTCCATATGGGAGAACTTATTTAGGGCGCTGTCTGAAATGCCTCGAACCATTCTAATTCAGTGCAAATATTTCCAATTTATATAAATAAATATCTTATGCACATACATATATTCATACATACGTTGTTTACTAGAATTGCTTTCGTTCGTTGCATTTGCGGTTTGAATACATAAAAACATAAATAACGAATAAATTATAGAGAAAAAGTAGCGAAAATAAAATGATAACTGGCTGGAACTCTTTTCTCAATAGCTTCTTTTCCAAAATTGTCAAAATTTCATTGAAAGGAGATTAAATTTTATATATATATTTTTTTTATAAAAATTCTTTGAAATCAATAAAAGTTTGCATAAACACTATTTTGGTCTACTCTTTCGAGTGCAAATTCAAATCATCAGAGTACCATCTTCAGATGCAATTAGACAAAATTTCAACATTATAAAAATCCAACAATTATGTCAAAATTTTCGACAACCTCCAATCGCCAACTGAATACGCGCAGCTCCGACATCGACGCCTTGGCCCAGCGTGGCTACAATATCGGACACAAAATTGGCGAGGGTTCCTATGCGACCGTTATCACAGCCGGCTATGCCGACGACGCGGGTCATGGTGTACATTTGGCCTGCAAGATAATTGATAAGGCCAAAGCACCCTCGGATTTCGTACATAAGTTCTTTCCACGAGAACTGGAAATACTAACAAAAATCGATCACCCAAACATCATACAGATACATAGTATACTACAGCGTGGGCCGAAAATTTTCATTTTCATGCGTTACGCGGAGAATGGTGATCTATTGAGTCATATCAAGAAATCGGGACCGGTTGAGGAGTTGCAAGCGAAAGCCTGGTTCATGCAGATGGCGAAAGCACTCAAGTATCTACATTCTCACGATATCGCACACCGTGACTTGAAGTGCGAGAACATATTGCTTTCGAAACGTCTCAATATCAAATTGGCTGATTTCGGCTTTGCACGCTATTGCTGCGACGACAGTGGACGTGAAATTAAATCGGAAACCTATTGCGGTTCAGCGGCCTATGCCGCACCCGAAGTCGTATGCGGTCGGCCATACGATCCAAAATTGGCCGACGCTTGGTCACTTGGCGTTATACTATTCATAATGTTGAATGCGAAAATGCCATTCGACGATAGCAATCTCAGTAAGTTGCTGGACGATCAGCGTAATAAGAAGTTTGCATTTCGACGGAAATTACAAGATCACATTTCGGCACAGGCCAAGGCCACCGTGGCGGTACTATTGGAGCCGGAACCGCATGCGCGTTGGAATTTACGTGAAATATTGAATTGCAGCTGGTTGCGTGCCGACGAGGAGGAACCGTTGGCTTAGTCCTAAAGACGAATACGTGCGTCATACATCATGCGACAGTTTAAGCAGTATGTCTGATTGGTTTTGGACCTAATGCCGTTGAATTTTTGTATGGAAAAAAAAGTAATTCTTTATATCTATATATATTTTTTTAATTTGCGCATGTAAAATGTTGGTCATTAGTGAAACTGCCCTCTAAACACACTGTAAAGCCTGTAACATAACAATTTTGGTTCTGAAATTATTATATATATGAACATGCATGTATATATAATGCGCATATGTATATTATATATGTATATATACTATATTTATGCTTTAGTTTTCGGCTGTTAAATTCCTGAAACTCCCACCGCAACCTCCTCAACTAATTAATTTGACTCAAACGATTGCATTCGAATGTCATAATTTTTCTCTATTTTTTATAAACCCAATATTTAATTTTATTTTTTGTTTTAATTGGTCACAATTAGATTTATCTGGTCGTGGACCAAGGCCAGTATCGAATTAAGACTGATTTGTCGTACATATACAGGAGTATGGCGTCTTTGTCGGCGTCGTCTCCAACCTATAAAAAAGCCAAAAAATTTGATGATGTGCTTTAGAGCATTAGTATTTCCAAATACTACTCTTAGTTATATGTGTCAGAAAATATCTTAAGTTAGTAAAAAAAATTATTAATTATAATAAATTGTAATTGTAAATTTTCAAAAAAGTGCTTGTCCGTTTGTCTGTCACTACGAAAACAAGTGTGTGTTTTGAAATTTTATTTCTTTGATGTGAAGGCAAAAAATGTGATGTGTAATTGTGTAGTCTACTAGTGACTGTGATTAGCTGGTGTTTATTTTCTTGCTGCTTAGCTAGTGTGGAACAGCTGGAACCCGTTCAGTTTTTGATGTTACTTTTTATTTAAGATGGGGAAAAAGGATTGTATACAAAACAAACAGTATCTATGTTTCCTACAAAGCGGAAACATTTTAACGGAATCTTCGGCCGTCACTACATAGCTTTTGGTCTCTGTTAGACAAGAGTCGTCAAAAAACACAGTGCAGATATTCCATGGAGAGGGGGTTAGCTGACGAAAGCTCTATCTATCAATGGCAACCAAGTACTCGTTTTTTATTTTTTTGTTGAACTTGAAGAGAAAAATTACTATCATTGAGTATAACAGGGTGATCAATAGGAGTAAAAATTCTTCATTTTAAGAAAAAATCATTTTTGGTCAACAAAAATTGAAATTTTTGAACATTTTCCATAGATGGTACATTTGGTCTCGAAAGTCTGTATATTATATTATTATACAAGTATTCCATCGATCCCTCTTTAGAAAAAGTATTGGGTGTTCATAGAATATGTTTTCTTATATAGTAGAACGATCTTTTAAAAGACAAATATAATTTTTTGTAATTAAAACATATGTTTTTGAGTTAAGTTTCAGTCACAGGTCATTATTTTAAATAACTAATATACTATTAAACAAAAAATAAATATTCGATTGCACCAAGCAACGCCGTTGTAGATGTGCCATCGCGATTGGACCGCATGGAAAAGCAAGTTAAATGTGGGGAGTTGATTGTGTAGATTGTTAATGTTTTGCAACATTTCTTTGCATATTCGACATAATTTAATTTCTAGTCAGTTCGGTTTAAAGTAGTTCAACTTCCTGCATTATTCAGAACATGATTGCACTAAATATATATCGGATCTCACGATTCAACTCAAGTTTGTCGATTCCGGCTACTGGTGGTCTTTTCACTTCACATAAAAACGGTTTGTGAAAATGTAGATTAATCAAAATTACATACAACTATATATCGGGCTACCAAGAGTGCTCGATGTTGTTGAAAGGCAATTTACTTTATACTAGTGGTATGCAAGGGTGATAGTAGACACTGGTAGCTAAGTACTACGCTATAGTCTTTTACAGGCAGCATGTATATCCCCTTAAGAGGCTTACATTGACTGACCTGACGTCGTCATATGCTTTCTACTAGTCGTCTTCTGTCTAATTGTTGAAAATGGTTTCTAGAAACTTCGTGTGGAAGATTGTTAGACCAAATATGATGCGATACAATATTGTTTGTTTCTTGAGAGAGATGTCAAAATTTACATAGATGTACCAACTTTGCCACCACTTAAAATAATTAGAGTGGACATTCTCAAAACAATTTTTGGGCATTTTTATACTTTTTTATACTAAAACTAACTAACTTCTGGCAATTTCAGATTATTTTTAACATAATGCGGTTGGTAATAACAAAAAGGTATATTCATACGTATTTGTAACAACGCAAAAATTAATTGAGATCAAAACTATGTATTCATCTATGAAAGGATATTAAAAACATAAACGCCCAAAACTTCAAAAATATATGTACTTCTTAAATCACTTCTGTTTCACTCTCCGAACCGAGAACTATTTCTTGTTGACCTTTGGCTTGCAATCACCACTTGCATTTATTAGAGGCAAATTACAAATACTCTTCGAGTCCATATTTATAATGTGCTCTCCTCCAACGAATGCATTAAATGTCTAATTTTATTGTCCAACTGAACGAATGTAGCATTTGCTCTTAAAACGTCACAAATAATTGCGGCAAAACAATTGGTGGTGCACTCCACTAAACACATACACACGTACTACTCACTCGTACATACTTGAAGACATGACATGAGGCACGAATCTGCTGTCAAGCAGGGGGTAGTAGTCAGGCAGCTAAGAGCGCTGACGAATGCATTGCTACGGAGAATAGCTTTTGATTTTACTGCACATT